GTGTTGCTGTTGTTCTCTAGCCCTCAAATAGCGTGTCCTTGCCCACTGAATTTCTCATTGCCGAGTTCTTCAGAGAGATACAATCTTTCCTGCTTGTCTAGCAGAGTCCTCACCCTAAATTCCCCATCCTTCTGGGTTCCAGAGTCCCCTCCCTTTCCTGACACATGGACAGACTTTTTAACCCTAAGATAGACTAAAAAGCATCCAAGCAAATAGGCACCGGCTGCTAGCTAGGGAATACAGGAATAGTGCCTCCTCATCTGGGATTCACTGTGAGCTCTAAATGCACCTCATACTGAAAATGGGCAGTGAAGATTTTCTTCTGACCACCTGCAACTATATGTTGTGGAATATTATGTCAACTATGTGAAGGTGTGTTGCATTTTGTTTATGCTATGGAATATTACTTTAACTGTGCAAAGGTGTGTTACATTTGCTTTTGCATATTGGTTTATTACTTTAACCGTGTAAAGGTGTGTTACTTTTGTTTCTGCTGTCTTTGTTAACAATGTAAGGATGTGTTACTTTTGTTTTTACTGCATTTGTTTAATTATGAAAAGATGTGTTGCTGTTTCACCTTGCCTGCCTAAGGCACCTGGTTGGTCTAATAAAAAACTGAATGGCCAATAGCTAGGCAGGACAGGGATAGGCAGGACTGGCAGGTGAAGAGAATAAGTAGGAGGAAAAAATCTAGGCTGGGGAGAGAAAAGAAGAAAGAAGAGAACCAGGAGAAAGAGAGGGACAAGCCTGGGGCTAGAAGCCAGGCAGCTGCCAGACAGACAGACATAGAGACAGCAGGAAAGATGTACAGACAGAAAGGTAAAAAGTCCTGAGGCAAAACATAGATAAAAAGAAACAGATTAAAATAAGAGCTAAGATAAGGCCAAGCATTCATAACAGTCTGCATGTCATGATTTGGGAGCTTTTGGGTGGCCCAAAAGAAAAAGCCTGGCCAGGTGGCGATGGTACATGCTTTTAATCCCAGCACTTGGGAGGCAGAGGCAGGCAGATCTCAGTAAGTTTGAGGACAGCCAGGACTGTTACACAGAGAAACCCTGTCTCAAAAAACCAAAGAAGAAAAACAGAAAAGGCTATGTCTCATGACCACTGCTTCACTTGTCTGAAACACAGTTGTGTTTCAAACAACAGGCTTAGGAGTTGTGTTGTAAATGTATCAGTGGGGGCTGGGCTCCAAATAATCATTTGTCCTCTGTATTTTGATCACTTGTGGTTTTCTGTAATGGCCTCTATCTGTTGCAAAGAGAATTTTCTGGTTGAGGGGTGAGAACTACAAGGAGCATCCTTAGGGTCTCTTCATGATCCGCATGTCACTGGAAAAACGGGGATGTCTTCGTTGAATTCTTAGTTTCATTAAAAGAATTTATGAAATCATTTTAAATTAAATTAACTAGTTTAATTTAATTTCATTAAAAGTATTTACAAAATTAGATAGCTGGGATACCAGCATGGGACTGATCCAGACCCCAGGAACATGGGTTTCAGCGAGGAAACCTTGGAAATCTAAGGGACCTCCTGTAAAAGTTCAGTGTTTATCCCTAGCACAGGTGTGTACTTTGGGAGCCCAATCCACATAGAGGAATACTCCCTGAGCCAAGACACACAGGGGTGGGCCTACGCCCTATCCCACAGGATACGATAGACTCTGATGACACCCTATGGAAGACCTCACCATCCAGGGGGAACAGAAAGGGTATGTGATAGGTAGGGTTTTAGTTGGGGGGTGGGGTGGTAGGAGAGGACGGGAGGGAGAGGGAACTGGGATTGTCATGTAAAACAATCTTGTTTCTAATTCAAATAAAAAATCTGAAAAAAAAGTATTTACAAAATTCTTTTAAATTAATTAAATTGAACTAAAATGTAGCGAAAGGATTTAATAACGGTCTTAGAGGGAAACTCTTAGACAATGTTATGAGAGTTTGAAAGGAAGCCTCTCTCTTCTGATGGTTTCTAACTGGCCATCTCGCACCTACCACTTACATTGGTTATTTTTGCCATCCTCTTTTGGGGATGAGTGTCCATCTTTATGTTTCCTAGGCTGGCTCTGATCTCCTAGGCTCAAGAAATTCTCTTGGCTCGGCCTTCCATGGGAGACAGATGTGTGGCACCATACCTGGATAAAAGACCCAAGTTATTTATAGATACACATAACCAAATGAAAGTGAAACAAAAAAAGTATTTTTTTAATCAAGATTAAGGCTGGAATTATGGTTCAATGGTTAAGAACACTGGCTGCTCTTCCAGAGGTCCTGAGTTCAATTCCCAGCAACCACATGGTGGCTCACAGCCATCTATAATAGGATCTGATGCCCTCTTCTGGCCTGCAGGTATACATGCAAAGCACTCATACATAAAATATAAATAAATAAAACTTAAAACAAAATAAAGATTAAAGACCCCAAGAAGGGGCTCTGGTTTTCTGGTATCAAGCCAACAATTGAAACATGGAGTGGCCTTTGAGGGTACCAGGCAAAGATGTGGGCTGGCTTTAGTGCTCTGGGATAACAGCTTGGCCAGGTCAACTGTAACAGGAAGTCTGTGGTTATCTCTGCCAAAGCTGAGGGCTTCAGGTTCCCCACTGTGATTCTTCATCCAAAAAGACTTCTCTCGGGATGGCACAAGTCTGAGCTGAAACACAGCTTCTTTGGACAATCCCCGTCCCTGGAACTTACTGAATGGGCCACATGGGCAGCTGGTATGGGGGAGGTCCAGCTTCTGCTTCTCAACTGAGGTCTCCCTGGGACTGTGAGGCTCCATGGAAACCCAGAGCTGACTCAGGATGACAGCCCTGTCCCCTTTGCAGGCCTCAGTTTCCCCTCTGTACAATGGGAGTGACCTGATGGTCTTTGGAACCTTTGTCAGCCCTGCTGTGTTTCTATGCTGGAGAGTGGGCTCAGGCTCAGCTTTTGTAGGCTGTGTTTACAGTTACCGTGGTCCTAGGCTTTTGGGAAGCCATCCAAATATAGAGAAAATGTCTCTCTTGTGCCTGTGCAGTCTGAAGGGACACGTGGCTCCTTGCACCTGCTTCTACTTGGGCACAATTGCTCTTTGAGTGCAGAGCTGGGGGGCTTCCAGGAGACGGAAGCTTTTCAGAAGCCCCAGAGCCAGTAGTGGCTGAGCAGGACAGTGTGCACCACTGAGCTTGTGGCCCGGACTGTGGTTGGTAGACTCAGAGCACCTACACCGTGGAGCTAGTGGTGGTCAGCACAGCCCTCCGTGGTCTGTGGAGCCTGCCATTGCTTTATGTGAGTGACTGCCCCCTACCCCTGCTTTATTCTGTGTTTGAATCTGTGAAGCCATGCTAGGTCCCTACTGGTACCATGGTAGCATCCTGCTCTCTTTGTTTCCCCTCACTGCTCTGTGCTGCTGCTGCTGCTGCTGCTGCTGCTGCTGCTGCTGCTGCTTCTTCTTCTTCTTCTTCTTCTTCTTCTTCTTCTCCTCCTCCTCCTCCTCCTCCTCCTCCTCCTCTTCCTCCTCCTCCTCTTCCTCCTCCTTATACTCCTCATCCTCTTCCTTCTCCTCCTCCTTTTGTCTGTATTGCTTTGGAACCTGTCCTGGAACTCTCTCTGTAAACCAGGCTGGCCTCGAACTCAGAGATCTGTCTGCCTCAGCCTCTTGAGTGCTGGGACTAAAGGCGTGCACCACCAATGAACGCCTGGCTGCTATTACTTCTGTATGGCTTGTGGTAGGCTGGTCAGGAGTGGCTGGTGTGGGCTGTGTGTGTGGCTCTGGTTTGGCCTGGGGTGCCTGGTCATGAGTTGTTTGGCTGGTGGTGGTCTGGCCTAGACGGTTGTGAGCTCTGACTGTTCGTGTCCTGCTGGTAATGCACCCCTTGCCCTGCCTTCCCAACAACCCCACACCAGCTATATACACTCATCTTCTCGTCTGCCATTGTGCAAATCAGACAGTGGTACCTGGCAGGCCCAGGTCATGTCCCCAACTTATCTCCCACTAGTCCTTCTTTGAGAGGCTAAGTGGGGAAGAAATATGCCCTGGGGCTGCTTGGTCACCCTCCTGTGGCTTCAGTTCCATGTGGAAGTGTTTCCAAGCTCAGTCTAGAGTCCCACAGATGAGGATGCAGAGGGTGGGGGTACGGACAAGAGGGGCTAAGCTGCTCACAGGCAGATCACACCGTAAGCCTCCTGACCTTGGCTTGTGGGTGAGGTTAGGGAGTGGCCGCAGGGGCAGACAGCACAGCGAGGGCCATGCGGAGAGAGGCCTTTGTCCTTCCTCATTCAGCATGTCCTCCTGGCCTGGAATGCTGCCACCCGCTCCTCTGCTCCATCAGCCTGGCAATGACCCTGCTCTGACAGGGAGGAATCAATTTAGGGCCAAACAAGGACCTCTCTGGTGTCCTTGGCTTTCTTTTTGCTGCCTTTTGATCTGCCCTGCCCCTGGCTCTCTCTGGTGCCTATGAGAGCTTGGTATGGATGCTGCAGGAGAGGGCTCTGCTGTTCTCCAAACCACCAGCCAGCCCAGGGATCCCGTGGGCGCATGCCCTATGTCTGAGCTATTTTCTGTGGAGATTTCTGGAGTTCCCTTCTGCTTCCATGTGGGTACCTTCCAGTTTCATCTGCCTCTGCCGTGTGGTGTGCCTTCCCTGGTCTCACATACCATATTTGTGAACACTGAGCCCCCCTCCCCCTTTTTGTCTGACTTTGTCCACTTGCCCATACTCCTGGTAGGCGAGTTTTGTGGTGATATGTGTCCAGGACACACCAGCTGGAAGGATGTGGGGTCTCTCTGCCCAGCTCCCCAGCACCAGTTAGCCTGGCAAAGGAGCAGCTTGGAGAGAACAAAGGGGCCTGCTCTATAGATATTTGGGGTGCAGTGGCTGTGAGGGGTCTGCAGATGGGTTGTGAGAAGTCTGGGGAGAGGGAGATTGGAAAGTGCCATCAAGAGGGCAGGTGTCTGTGGGGCTGGCTTGTGGCCATGTAAACCTGTGGTGCCTCCTCCCCAACAGATTCCAGGTGTCCTGCTCCTACCTGAAGGGCATGGGGCCCTCGCGTGTTCCCAGAAGGACCGTTCTCTTCCAGCGGGAGAGGACGGGCCTGACCTACCGCGTGCCTGCGCTGCTCAGTGTGCCTCCCAGGCCTACCCTGCTGGCCTTTGCAGAACAGCGACTCAGCCCTGATGATTCCCATGCTCACCGCCTGGTGCTGAGGAGGGGGACACTGGCCAAGGGCTCAGTGCGGGTGAGTGCAAAGCGCTGAGGGGAAACGGAAGCCCAGCTCTACTGATCCCTCTGGAGACTAAGGTCAGGCTCCAGATGTCTTGACCAGCTGCCTCTTTTTCTTAGTGGGGCACCCTGAGTGTGCTGGAGACTGCGGTGCTGGAGGGGCACAGGTCTATGAACCCTTGCCCGGTGCTGGACGAACACTCGGGTACCATCTTCCTCTTCTTCATTGCGGTGCTGGGCCACACGCCCGAGGCCGTGCAGATCGCCACTGGCAAGAACGCTGCTCGGCTCTGTTGTGTGACCAGCTGTGATGCGGGCCTCACCTGGGGCAGTGTGCGAGACCTCACTGAGGAGGTCATTGGTGCAGCATTGCGGGGTAGGTGACACCTGGTGTGGGATGGGCTGGTGGTGTGGGGCGGAGGAATTGAGTGGGTAGGAACAGGACAGGGCAAGATGGGCTTGGGCTTGACCCTTGCATAGGCCCACCAGTCACTTGGAAATCTTCATTCTGCCTCTCCTATCCTCAGTTTCTTGCCCCACAACCCCCAAGAGCAATGACTTCCTAACACTGTCTCCAGGACTGTCTGGCATTCCCCAAGCGCCTTCAGTGTTGGCAGGGCGGCAGCTAAAGCCCACCAGGGGCTCCCTTTGTCTTGGTCTGTAGAGGAGAGGGTTGGGGCTCTTATTCTCTTTTACCACTTCCTTTTGCTTTTCGCCTCCTCCTCATCCAGCCCTGGTCTCTGGCCCCCGTCATTTTTTCCACCTCTGCAGTCCCCACCTGCAGTTGCTGACTCTGTTTCACTACCCGACTCCTGCTGATAGGCGTGGCCCTAGGGGCTACAGGACCAGGCCCATGACTGCTACTTAGAGGGGTGTGGCAGCTTCTGGGAGGTGGACAAGGACAGTGGGCACATCCAAAAACCTCACCCACGGTCTCCTCCCTTTACCACCCTTGTGTAATAGCACTTGCTCCAGAAGTTGAGCTCTGCTGGTGATCATTAAGCCTCTGTTGGCTAACAGCTGGGGAACCGCTCTGTGGTAGACCACTTGTTTGGCCCGGTTTCTGTGCTTTGCACCCCCAAACAAAAAGCAAAAGTCTCCCAAGTGGCTGGAGAGATGACTCAGAGTGAAGAGCTTGTATGGCTTACAGCTCTTGCAGAGAACTGGAGTTCGGTTCCCTGCACCTGAATTGGGTGGCTCACAATTGCCTGTAACTCCAGCTCCAGGGCATCTGCCACCTCTAGCCTCTATGGGCACCTGCACTTATGTGCACACCCTCCAAATGCACATAACTAAAGATGTATTTATTATGTATACATGTATGCCTGCAGGCCAGAAGAGGGCACCAGATCTCATTACAGATGGTTGTGAGCCACCATATGGTTTCTGGGAATTGAACTTAGGACCTCTGGAAGAGCTGCCAGGGCTGTTACTCTCTGAGCCACCTCTCCAGCCTCCCCCCAACCCCAATGCACATCATTAAAAATAAGTCTTTTAAAAACTTTAAGAAGGCATTTGACCGAGCAGGCTCCCAGGATTATGCAGTCAGATGACCCAACCCAAGGTTCTGGCTCCTTCTTTCTGTAGACTGGGCCACCTTTGCTGTGGGTCCAGGCCATGGAGTTCAGCTGCGCTCAGGTCGCCTGCTTGTCCCTGCCTACACCTACCACGTGGACCGCCGAGAGTGTTTCGGCAGGATCTGCTGGACCAGTCCCCACTCCTTGGCCTTTTACAGTGATGACCATGGAATCTCCTGGCACTGTGGAGGCCTTGTGCCCAACCTGCGCTCTGGAGAGTGCCAACTGGCTGCCGTGGGTGGAGACTTTCTCTACTGCAATGCCCGGAGCCCTCTGGGCAACCGGGTGCAGGCACTGAGTGCTGATGAGGGCACCTCCTTCCTGCCAGGGGAGCTGGTGCCTACACTGGCAGAAACTGCCCGTGGCTGCCAGGGTAGCATTGTGGGCTTCCCAGCCCCACCCTCCAGCAGGCCTCAGGATGACCGGTGGCCCGTGGGTCCTGGGAATACCCCACATTCCCCATGCTTCTATCTCAGAGTACAGGAGGCTTCAGGGGAAGGTGCTGGGGGTCCTGTTGAAGGTTGGGTTCCCAGAGGGCCATTCTGCACCCCACAGACCTGGGGTCTAGGGAATCATGGCTCAGAACCTGGGCCAGGTGGAGATAAGACAGTCTGGAGCCCAGAACTCCCTGTGTCCTCTGCTTCCCTGCTTCAGAGTCCCACATGGCTGCTGTATTCCCACCCGTCAGAGCGTAGAGCTCGGCTCCACATGGGAATCTACCTGAGCCGGTCCCCCTTGGACCCCCATAGCTGGACAGATCCCTGGGTGATCTATGAGGGCCCCAGTGGCTACTCCGACCTAGCGTTCCTTGGGGCTGTGCCTGGGGCGTCCCTGGCCTTTGCCTGTTTGTTTGAGAGCGGGATCAGGGCCTCCTACGAAGACATCTCTTTTTGCTTGTTCTCATTGGCTGATGTCCTGGAGAATGTACCCACTGGCCTAGAGATACGCAGCCCCAGGGACAAGCCTCAGGGGCATTGCTGGCCCTCTTGATGGCCTGGCCCTCTGGCAGGCACCTGGGGAGGAAGGGGAGAGTGTATAGAAGAGGCTGGGTCAAGTCAGCATGACCCTGGGATGGACAGTGTCTTCCTTACTGCTGCTGGGGGATGTCACTGGGGAGCAGTCTGCTGTCTGCACTTGAGTGAAAAATAAAGGGATTTCACTTCGTCTGTTTGTTTCTACATCTAAACCTTGGGTCCCAGCACTCTAGGTCACTTCTCTGATCGCCAAGGTCATTTCCCACCTACATCCTGCTCAGTTCCCTCATCCCAGGGGAGGCTGGCAGGGGTGAAGGCGACAGGAACAGTGGACATCACAGCCCCTCTTTCCACTACCTGCTGTGTGCCAGCTCCAGTCAGTCTGAAGCTTGCCAATGACTGAAGCCTGAACTTTCTAAACGTCAGCAGGTGAAGGAGCCAGCCTCCCCAGCTAGTGGGGACTGAAAGGCGTAAACTAAACTCAAAGGCTTCACTTCTAGGAATGAAGGGACCCGACCCTCACTCAGCCCCTGCTTTAGAAGCCATGACAGGCTACAGAAAAGACATGTAGGCCTGTGACACAAGGAAACTCCAGATCCTCTGGCCTCCCTGAGCCTGGGCCAAAACTGAACACAAAGAAACTCCAGACTCCCCCCCACACCACCCCCAGCCTCCTAGGTACTTGGTTCCTGTGAACTGTTTGGCCACAAAAGAAACTCCAGGGGAGACCAAAACCTCCCCTATAGTCTCCAGGATACAGCTCTAAAAACAAATGGTATCTGTGTACAACAGGCCACCTGCAAGTAACAAGACAAAGCCATAGAAACCACAGAATGTTCCCTCTCAGTGGGGACCAATGAAAATAACCTGGTTCACAGGTATTTCATGCCAAAATATGACTTGGAGAAATTCTCCTGATTGTTCCCAAATGTCAACCAACCAGAAAGCAGCCGGTACCTACTGATATAATCCTGTAACTTCTGTCTTTAAAACCTGGCAGTTGACAGGGAACTTCACCCCCTCTGGAGGCTGCTGCTTAGCTTGCTAGACAGGATACCTCCCCGGCAGTATAGAACAATCAATAAACCTCGTGCATTTGCATTGGTGGTCTGTCTCCCTGGTCTCTTTGGGGATCCTTGTGACTTGGGCACAAAGAGATAGAGCTTGACTTGAGGAAGGGTTACTTCCTAGGACCTGCTCCAAGTGCCCACTTCTTTACACTTCTCTGGAGAGGGCTCTTATGTTTGTATTTCCCTCCCCTTCCCTCCCCTTTCCTCCCCTCCCCTTCCTCTTAGTACCTGACAGTGTGGAGAGGATACCTCTGTTCCCTCAGAAGGCCTCTCCCTCTGCCTTCCCACCTACCCCAACTCTAGTCTATTCCCACCACTCAGGGCATCTGATGTCTCTTGTAAGGAGCAACTATGCCTCGGGACGCCTGCCCCTCCTCAGCCCAGGCTACGCTGGCACTGCATGTTTTGTGAGTATCCTGGGTAACATGTGGTTTTCTAGTTCCCAGGATCACCAGCTCCAATATTACATAGACATTCATGTCTGGAAGGAAGAGTAATGCTCCCCCCAAGACAGCCCTGCCCTGCCCCCAGAACCCCCAAAAAACGTGACCTTGAAGACAAAGGGAGTTTTAGAAAGCTGAAGGGAAGATGGGGACCAAGCTGATTATCTAAATGGATTCAGAGCCATTATAGGACTCTAATGAAAGGGGGAGGGGCCAGAGGATGGGGGATTTGGAACTGGGTTTGAAGAAAGGGGAGGAGCTGAGTGCTTCCCCACCCCCCAAGTCTGCAGAAGGAGTCATCCCTGTTGACACCTTAGTGTTGCCCGACCCGTGCCAGAATTCTGGTGTTCAACATGTGGAGTAGGCCTGTTGTTTGAAACACAACTGTGTTTCAGACAAGTGAAGCAGTGGTCATGAGACATAGCCTTTTTTTTAATTTAATTTAAAATGATTTCATAAATTCTTTTAATGAAACTAAGAATTCAACGAAGACATCCCTATTTTTCCAGTGACATGCCGATCATGAAGAGACCCTAAGGATGCTCCTTGTAGTTCTCACCCCTCAACCAGAAAATTCTCTTTGCAACAGATAGAGGCCATTACAGAAAACCACAAGTGATCAAAATACAGAGGACAAATGATTATTTGGAGCCCAGCCCCCACGGATACATCTACCACACAACTCCTGCACCTCAGGCTCGATGATCATAAAAGGAGAGAAGGGGCAGCGAGGTTGTAAGAGCAAGAGGAACAGAAGTTTATTGTGAGAAATGAAATGTCATCACGTATATGCTAGAAATGTCACAGAAGCCACCTCCATGAAGTCTCATCAACATGGCTGCCTAAATACAGACCTAAACAAGGATGGCATGACTAGACATGCTAACATGGAAGGGGCAATCTCACGGAGCAACAACCCCTTACAAAGAACGACAGGCGACGAAGGGATGCCGAGAGCCAGAGAAATAGTCTTCCCCAGAAGAGATCCCCAAGTGGTCAGTCCCGAAATCACATGCATGCAAGTAACATTATAGAATTGAGCAGGTTGTGTTTACGTAGTCAGGAATTGTACATTATATGTACATAGTATGTATGTATATATAAATTCCTAAATATATAAGGTTAAAGGGAAAGAGGCCATGAATTTGAGAGAGAGCAAAGCAGGGGTACGTGGAAAGGATTGGATGCAGGAAAGCGAAGGGGGAAATGATCTAATTGATTATATTTCTATTTCAAAAAATTTTTAAAATATTAAAAAAAATAGCAAATAGTGGCTGGAGGTTGTCTTCTGTCTCTGCGAACCCCCACACTCCCCCAAGCATGTGCGCACGCACACACCCACATACAATGCACACCCGCACACCCACCCCCACACACACACACATCCTAAGGTACAGACAAGTCAACAATTCTGGTTGCCAAATTCACATCTTTAAATATTTGATCAAACTGATACCTCAGAGAAACAAATCCGTTGTGCATTTTACACCTGAATTATTTCTCCAGCAGCTGCCACACCTCAGGAGGCAATGAGAGGCCATCACGCTCCCTTTCCTCATTACACACCTAATTCAAGCTAATCTCCTTGAATGCATTGCCTTTGCGTGATTCACAAATTCTTCATCTGTCACTGAATGCACAGCTAATTCTTTTAGCAACAAGGCTTTCCCAATGAAGGATGCCAGGCGTGGTCTACGTCCCGTCCCAAACTCCTTACTCCAGTTCTTGTTCCAGAGTACCCTCCCACCGTTGCAGCTCTATCGTCAGAACACACTGTCCTCTGAGAAACTTAAGCTCCAAACCACATGTGTCACAAGGGCAGGTCCTAGCTATGTTGTGTTCATTGAAAATAATGCTAAAAGGAATTCTTCATATTGCCATGCTTCAAATGGCATGTGTGCTATAATTACTGCATCCTCAAATCCGGACCTTCTTTAAATTACAATAAAAAAATACTGGAAAAAAATTTGAGACAGGGTCTCCTATGTAGCCCTGCTTGGCCTGGAACTTTCTATGACACAAGAGTCTCTATAGACCAGGCTGCTCTCAAAGTCATAGAGACCCATCTTCCTCTAGCTCCCAAGTGCTGAGATAAAGGCATGCGTCACCAAGAAAAAATATATTTTTTAGAAATCCCTCCAGCCAGGTGGTGATGGTGCACACCTTTAATCACAGACTCAGGAGGCAGAGGCACATAGATCTCTTTGAGTTCGAGGTGAGCCTGGCCTACAGAGCGAGTTCCAGGAAAGCCAGAGCTACACAGAGAAACTCTGTCTCAGAAAAACAGTAAAAAGTTTATGTCCTTGTATCCATATGTCTCTGAGATTTGAGAAAAGCTTTCTTTAGTAACGCAAAATATCAAAAAGGTGAAGTTTGTCCTGGCTTTTTCTTTTTCATTTGGTTTCATTTCTTTTTTTATTTAAGACAGGGTCTCACTATGTAGTTCTGGCTGGACTGCAACTCATTCTGTATATCAGACTGGCCTCACAGAGGTCTGCCTGCCTCTGCTTCTTGAGTGCTAAAATTAAAGTAGTTCACCACCATGCCCAGATCTTTTCTTTTCTTTTATTTCTTTTGAATTTTTAGATAGGTTTCTCTGTGTAACAGTCCTGTCTGTCCTGGAATTCACTTTGTAGACCAGGTTTGCCTCAAACTCACAAAAACCCACCTACCTCTGCTTCCTGAGTGCTGGGATTCACGTATCTAACAAAAGTAGAAGTACAAACTCCCAGGTCAGGCACCATCTGCTTGCCCAGTACTGGCCCAATCCAGTATAAAGTTTAATGGCATAAATATAAACAGCAGCTGGACTTCTAACCTCTCACAAAAGGAAATGCATTGAGTCTAAATACACCTATTTGAGCCTTAAAAGCATGGAAGTCAACCCCTTCCTCGGAACATCATAGAGAGACAAAACTGGCAGAAGTCCCCCTGTCTAAGCTATTGGCTTTCCACAAGCCAAAGGAGAGGGGACCAGGAAAGAGGGAGCAGAGCGCGACTTGAAGATTTCAGGTTAAGAGGAAGTATAGAAGCAGTTACCCTCCATGTGTGACTTGGGGGTGCGGTTCTCCCACTGTCTCTGTCTGCTCTTTTGGATACAAGAGTGGCTCAGGATATCTTCAGGATCAGTCTTCTGAGATGTCCACCAGAAAAGCCATGTATGTCCCCAAAAGCTTGTTGGAGTGGAGAGGATTTCTATCTTGGTGCCAGTGCCGCTTTACCAAACACTGACTGGGTCTCTGGCCAGAAAAACAGAAGCAAAAGAACCCGAGCTAACGCTCAAGCCATGCTTAGCAGGGCCCATCAGCCAAGCGGCAGTCAGGCAAACTCATCAATGATGCTTCAAGACAGATCCTGGCAAGAATCCCCAGAAATGCTATCGAGTGAGGGAACAGAGACAAGCTAGGCATTGTCACCTTTAGCAGCCCCAGCAGACCTCCTTCCTGCGCTTGTGGGACCTCAACTCACCAAACTCACCAAACTCAACCAAACTGGGATTTGGG